GGATCTCCAGGCTGGAAAAACAGCCCTGGCACTGGGATCTCCAGGCTGGAAGCAGGGCTCTGGCACTGGGATCTCCAGGTTGGAAAAACAGCCCTGGCACTGGGATCTCCAGGTTGGAAAAACAGCCCTGGCACTGGGATCTCCAGGCTGGAAAAACAGCCCTGGCACTGGGATCTCCAGGCTGGAAGCACAGCCCTGGCACTGGGATCTCCAGGCTGGAAGCAGGGCCCTGGCACTGGGATCTCCAGGTTGGAAAAACAGCCCTGGCACTGGGATCTCCAGGCTGGAAAAACAGCCCTGGCACTGGGATCTCCAGGCTGGAAGCACAGCCCGGGCTCCCAGCCATGGGATCTCCCCCATCCTCACCTCCACTGCGCTCCAGGCCGCCCCTCCCTGCGGATCTCAGCCATCACCATGTTCAGGTCCAGCTCCTTTATCTTCTCCTCCACCACATTCTCCGGCATCAGATCTGGGGCAGAGGAAGGGCCAGGGAGGGGGGTGGGTTGGGGTGTGCTGTGAGGTGGGAGCTGCTCCCCAGCCCCTGGCTCTGTGGGATGAGAGCCCCTGGGCACCCTGGAGGGTGATCCCAGCACTCACACTGGTGGTTGATGAAGCAGTGGGCCGCCAGGAGCTTCAGGGAGTGCACCTCGAAGAGCACGCGGTGGAAGAGCAGGTTGTGGGCGGTCGGGCGCTTGTCGGGGTTCAGGGTCAGGCAGGACAGGATGAACTCCTGTCAGGGATTGCAGAGCCAGAAGGTCCCCCCTGAGCCTCCTTTTCTCCAGTCTGGCCCCCACCCCCCAGCTCCCTCAGCCCCTCCTGCTGCTCCAGCCCCTTCCCAGCTCCCTTCCCTTCCCTGGACAGGCTCCAGCCCCTCAGTGTCCTGTTCCTGGGGATCCCAAAGCTGCCCCCAGGATTTGGGATGCCCCAGCAGTGCCCAGCAAAGGCAGACAGCCTCTACCCTGGGCCCACACTGGGGCTGCTGCAATTTCCTGGGAAGCAGATCCAAGGGGGGGGTCTTTCCACAGTGGGAGCCCCAGGGCAGGGAGATCCAGGTGGGAGGAAGCCCAGGCAGAGGGTCCCCACTGAGCCCCATCCCTGAGCCAGGGGGGTGTCCCCAGATCGGACCCCTCAGAACCCCCCCCCGCCAGAGGCCCTCCCTGGGCCTCCTGCAAACACAGGACTGTGGGATCTGAGGGGGCAGGATTTTCTGTGGGATGCCTGAAGGAATTCTGAGATCAAAGCAGAGAATCTGGGGAACGTACCGAACTCATTATGGGATGTTTTGGAGATTGGTCAGAGGGAAGGGGGAAGGGGGAAGGGGGAGGTGGGTCAGAGCGGAAGATGGAGGAGGATCAAAGGTCATGGCTGGTCTGTGGGATCCGGGATGGGATTTACACCCAGGAGGGATTTGGGATAGGAATTATAACCAGGAGGGATGGAGGATGGAATTTACACCCAGGAGGGATTTGGGATGGGATTTACATCCAGGAAGGATGGAGGATGGGATTTATACCCAGGAGGGATTTGGGATGGGATTTACACCCAGGAAGGATGGAGGGTGGGAATTATAACCAGGAGGGATGGAGGATGCAACTTATACCCTGGAGGCATGGAGGATGGAATTTACACCCAGGAGGGATTTGGGATGGGATTTACATCCAGGAAGGATGGAGGATGGGATTTATACCCAGGAGGGATTCGGGATGGGATTTACACCCAGGAAGGATGGAGGATGGGAATTATAACCAGGAGGGATGGAGGATGCAATTTATACCCTGGAGGCATGGAGGATGGAATTTACACCCAGGAGGGATTTGGGATGGGATTTACGTCCAGGAAGGATGGAGGATGGGATTTATACCCAGGAGGGATTCGGGATGGGATTTACACCCAGGAGGGATTCAGGACAAGGAATTACCCCCAGGAGGGCTGCCCAGCCCCCAGCAGGGCCCCCAGGCCCTTCCAGCCGCACTCACCCTCATGTTGGGATCGTCCAGGGAATGCCGGGCCCTCACGATGGCCTCCTCCGACACCCGCGTGTCCCCGTTGGTCTGGATCTCCAGCACAGCCATCTGGGAGGGGCAGCAGATCCATGGGGGCTTCCCAAGGGACACCCCCGGGCGGGGCAGGCACAAGGGACAATCCCTGGACAAGGGACATCCCAGGACAAGGGACATCCCTGGGTAAGGGACACCCCAGGATAAGGGACATCCCAGGATAAGGGACACCCCCGGGGCAGGGCAGGGACAAGGGACACTCCCAGACAAGGGACAAGGGCCTGGAGCCTCCTGGGCAGCCCCTAGGCCATCACTCTCCCCCCAGAGCAGGGTCTCAGTGCCCATCCCTGTCCCACCTCCAGCGCACACATCCCGAAGGAGAAGATGTCCACGGCCGTCCCGTCCGTCTTCTCTGCAACAGGAGCCGGGACGTGTCAGGCTGGGAGCACCCAGGGCCTGGGCACCCCCCTGGGGACCCCCCACCCACCCTCACCCGGGGACTGGCCCCATTCTGGCTCTCCCCAGGGTTCCAGTGCTGCCACTGTGCTCCCCCCAGTGCTCCAGGGCCCCCATCCTGCCAGCCCCAGTGCCACTGTCCTGCTGTCCCCTATGTCCCACTGCCCCTGTCCTGCCGTGCCCAGCACCCCAGTGCCACCACCCTGCCATTCCCAGAGCCTCACCATCCCTGTCCTGCCATGCCCAGTGCCCTGATGACCCTGCTGTGCCACCTGTAGTGCCCAGTGCCACCACCCCGTCATTCCCAGTGTCCTGGCACCCCCATCTTGCTGTCCCCAGTGTCCCACCATCCCATCCTGCTGTCCCCACCGCTCTGGTGCCCCTGTCCTGCTGTGCCCACTGTCCCACCATTCCTGTCCTCTGTGCCCTCCCCTGCTCACGCCCTTCCCCCACCTCACACTTCCCTGACAAACCTTTCCCATTTATCCCGCCAAACCTGCCCAGAATCATTCCAGGAGGCGATCCAAGGGCACCCTGAGCTTTCCCATGGCCCAAAGGTCCTTTCCCCCTTTTCCCACGTACTCCTGGGTGTTCCTGAGCCCCGAGCTGCCCCTTCCAGAGCCACCCTTGGCCATGCTGGGATCCAGTTCCCGACCGGGGTCACTGAACCCCGACATTCCCACGGGCACAGCTTTGCCCCCATCACCCCCTCCCCCCTGTGCCTCCCCCCACCCCAGCCCCCATCCCAGCCCCCCACTCACGGCCATACTCCGGTGGGAAGAAGTGGAGATTCCGCAGCTCTTCCCTCTCGATCCTGATGGGGCTTCTCAGGTCGTCCGGGAGGGCTGGGGGGGAACGTGTTCAGTGGGAACTCTGGGGGGGGGGGGGGCTGTGTGTGCCCCTGCCCACCCACAGGGGCTCTGAGGGGGGGTCTGTGTGTGCCCCTGCCCACCCACAGGGGCTCTGAGGGGACAGGGGGTCCGTGCGTGTCCCACAGACTCCCCCACCGGACACCCCCCACTCCCACACAGGAGCAGAAATTCCCTGAGGGATGAAGATCCCCCCTGGCCCACAAAGCCCAGGACCACTCCCCGTGCCTGGTGCCTCAGTGGGGGGCTCAGGGGCCGGGGGGGTTGCCCCAGGGGCAGGGGGTGGCAGTGGGACACTCACCGTTGGCAAACACCCGGTGCCAAACTGCCGGAGCGCCGGTGATCCAGGAGGGACGGAGAGGGGGCACCAGGAGGAGAGAAGGGAACACCAAGGTTTGGGAGGGACCCCAGAGGGACCCCCCAAGCTCCAGGCACTCCTGCCCAGCTGGGACCCCCTCACCTGACCCCTGTCCCCACCCTGAGACCCCCTCACATGACCCCTGTCCCCATCCTGAGACCCCCTCACATGACCCCTGTCCCCACCCTGAGACCCCCTCACATGACCCCTGTCCCCATCCTGAGACCCCCTCACATGACCCCTGTCCCCA